ACAATCTGAGCTTCAAGGGCAACATACACGAGCCACAAACCATTAACTGCAAGAAATGAACAAGTATGAGCAACACTTACCTGGCTCTTCTTCTTCTTCTCTGGATTTACTGGCAGATCACAAACAACCTCAAGGTGCACATCGCCACCTATTGCACAGGAGTGTGTAACATCGTGTCACCACTGTGAGATATACGCAGCCGGTCTGGAGATGTGTTGCTGAGGCTACCTCTGCCTGGTTCTTGGTTCATCTGGATTAGAAGCAGAGGGTTATGGGATGTATAACCATGAGAATATGACATTTTACTCCAATGTTTAAACTTGTTTTTTTGTCAGCCTTCAAATGATCAAAATGCAACATATAAACCTTAAAGCTTGAACAGCATCAGCTGATGCAAGAACAAGGACTAGATGACAACAGCTTCGGCAGTGGATAGTAAGGACAAGGTGCAACTAAAATCAAGTTGTTTACTACTTAAATAGTAAAAGCAGAAATCTTCTCAGTGTTTCTACATTATTCTTTATAAGCTCTGATTAGGTGGCAGTACTGAATGCTTTTATTTTTTGGAATAAATACATTTTCATAATTGCTTCTCTACTTCCAGACTGACACAGTTAAACTCCACAAGTACAGTCGGATTAAAACCCTCCCAGTCTTTGAAGACACTAAATATTACATAATTCTTCTGATTAACAAAGTGAGTGTGTCTTGAAGAAGAACTCTTCTATTTTATTATATTCTCTAAAATGTAGAAAGAACCTGATAATACTAATACATGGCAATATAGCCTATAAAAATGACGGGTCAGAGTACTTTGTGGGGTTGTAAGTAGGAATGGACCCAAGAACCATCAGTCTTTTTCTTCATTTTATAGATATTTCATATTATATTAAACTGTGCAATGAAACAATCTTGGGTAAATAAACAGCTCCAACTTCAGGAAAGAAAAATCATTTGAGTGTTATATTGTATGACATAAAAAAGACCATTTTGCAATCAACACTAAAAAGAAATCAGAGATATGAACAAAATCCTACAGTGTTTACATTCTCACACTGCATGGAACAGAACAAATTAGACATGTAGAAAATCCCACCCACAATCCCTCAGTGGCTCGATGTGAAAGAGCGCATTGTTGCCAGGCAGAAACACAACATGATGGCACACAATCTGAGGATGAAGAGTCCGTTTAATTTTCACTGTGTAGGCGGAAAACAGTGGAACTGCCGTCACAAAACACACTGCAACTTCTGTCCACATTTCTCTCATGGAGATGTTTGGTCTCCATTGGCGCCAGTTGGACACATTTTGAGACAAAGGGCCTCTTGTTTTGCCAGAAAAGAGGAATCTTTTGCTATATTGATGTTAATATTCCTCTTGGATTTGACGCAGAACTTCTCTCGTTGTTTGAGGTTGACTGGCAGGTGTCCATTGAAATGCAGTTGAAAGAGCTTCCTGTCCGCACACTGATGGGGCACAAAGCCTGTGAGTGACCCAGGTAAATGTCAGGACACCTTTCGAAAGGTTTTTTTCTTCGTATAGAGGAGGTTCAAGAAAGGTTTGAACCATTATTTTAACCCATAAAGTGGAGATTTTCTAGGCTTTCAGGGCATTTTTGTCACTCTTTTCTCCTCACATCTGGACTCTCACAGACCTTAAGTCTTCTCACAGTTCACAGGAAGTCATTTTAGTGCTTCATGCTTTAAAAACAACCTCCTCATTTAATGACTTTCACTTGCAATTAGTCTATTTAAAGGCTCAAATAACACCAAATAAAGATATATACGAAATATCTCATATCAATATTTGAACTTTTACTTGCTTGCAAGAGGTCGATGTGATTAATTTCCCAGTTAATTATCATCTTATTTACCATAATTATGAGCTGAATAAGTGAGGGTTTACTGAGTTGTTGTGGGGCCGTCTGGTCCCTGCGCTCTTACTCACAGTTCTAATTAAAACTCATCAAAACATCATTATTTTGTGACAACTTGTTTATGGAAACCAGGAGAATGGCTGATAATTGCCACTCACCAGTTTCTAATTACTAACACCGGCACTCAAGCTCATGGGCTGGGGAAGGCGTTAACACTGTCAGCGCATGCAAGGCATGGCCGGATTATCGGTGAGGGGGGTCATGGGGCTCAAACGAACCCCCAGCATGCACATAGATCATGACATTACCTGTCTGTGTATCCGGCTCTAAACATGTAGTGTTTTAATACGGAATTTTACCTATTCGAGAGGCTAAATGTAAGAAGCCTGTATTTGTTCTGCTCAATGTTTCCAAAATTACTATGAATTTAGATTAGAAAGTGGGAAATCTGCCAGAAATTAGACACAAATTACACACTTCCTTATCTAAATGTGACCATTTTAGTCCAAAAAGTGGATTTGTGGACTTCCTATTTCCTTTATAAGCATGTAGGGAGAGAAAATGCACAAGAAATACATAGTAATTGAACATAAATACCTTTTTTTTTTGAAGAGGCCATTCAAATACTTCTCCTGGAGGTATACATGTTCTGGGGCCACAGCCTTGTTTGCAGCATATTCCAGGTGACTTGGATCCTAATAAGTGCTCAAAAACAAAGACAAATGTGATGCATTTGGATAAGAAATTCCCTTTGAATTAAGGAGAGAAAGAAGAATAAATGGAGGAAGACAGTAGTTGATACCAACCCCCCCTCTGCCCATCATCCTCACACTTTTCAATTAGTGTGCAGGCAGACACCTCGCGTGGCATCACCGTCCTAATCCTCCAGAGGAAAAAAAAAGGAGCATTGGCGGTCATATGCCAGCCAGATTTGTCCCATTATTCATTACAATTAATTGCTTCCCCGTTCACCCGGCCTTTTCCCAGGAAGGCGGCGCAGTGCGGACGTCTCTGCTGCAGATTGTAATATGAGCGCAGGACTTAAAGCTGTCATTCAAATCTCACTGTGACCTTTAGCGAGAAAAGGCTGTTTTTCACCCAGTTTGCAGCCAACCGACGGTGAAGTTTACTGTGTGTGTGTGTGTGTGTGTGTGTGTGTGTGGTTCTATCCTTGTGAGAACCTATGTGAGTGAGGATATTTTTACCAGGTGCAACCTGACCTGATGTTTTACAATTACAGTAACACTTATAGGACACTAAATCCTTCTGAACTCCACCTGCAGCTTTATGTATAAATAAACTATTTGCTAAAAAGCTACTATATCAATTTACAGTAGATGTTGTTTTCCACTCTAAACAATAGAGGTCAGAACAGAGGCAGAAGATTGTTTGAGATTGGAGAGAAAGATCTGACTAAAAGGTGCATTAAGTAGCTTTCAATCATATTACAGCACTTCTTCTTTGGCTCCACACTGACAAGAAGTCCTTAAAGCTGCAGTAGGTAACTTTTAGAAACATAACTTTCACTATATCCTGACAGAAGAACATGAGACAGATAATCTGTGACAAAATCAGGTTCCTCCTAGGAGAATACACCACCTGAACAAAAGCAACCAATCAGAGCCAAGAAGGATAGCTGATCGTTGAGTCTCATTCCCAAATACTGACGCTCCGGGTATCTGGGACTTCGTTTTGACGACCTAGGAATTTAAAGTGCTCAATAAACATTAAACATGACAATTACACAAATTCAAAAAGTTGGTTGTACTTATTTGAGCAATAGAAATATATTAAGTAATTTCACAAGATAAAACATTGAATTCATACAACAAAATCAAAAGAGACCTCCTCGTACAGTGAACATCAGGCTGTCACATGACTTCTACCTGCTGTTATGACGCCAGGTATGAATGACAAGAAACACAAAAACCCAAGCAACCAGATACATTTAATTAGATAATTGCTTTATTTTCTTTCTTTTTTTACCTGAAGACTGACTCACAGTATTCTTACAGTATTCGTGAAAAGTAAAAAACAAAAAGGAGTAGGAATATGATTCTCTTTGAGCCTGGATAAAGCTGTAATTTCATCCAAAGGAGACAATCAAACATCAGGATGTGGTTTTAAGTCGTGCTGCCCACGAGCGATGCTTGACGGGGCCGGCGTTGCCAGTTTGAAGGGTCCTCAGCGCCGAGGTATTGTAGCCGAACCCCCATGTGACCACACACTGATACACACACGTCAGTAACAGTTACAGTGTTTGGTACATGGGAGGAAACCTGTATGGAATGATTCTGTTCTCTGCGTAAGAAGAAGTCTATAGAAAATCTGAATATAAATCATAATATGAAGGCAATAAGGAAGCACAGTCACACGTCTTTTACAATATAAAACCTTTAACAGAGGGCTGCCATGTTGGAGGAATGAAACCTAACACGTAATCTACAGTAACGTAATATAACTTTTTGTTAGTTTTAGTGTCATATGATGGTCTGACTGCTGCTTCAGAGGCTTTTCTACGCTGGCACAGTACAAAAAAACTAAATTCGTCTGGGTTTTTCTTTATTTTTTTGGATACTGGTTCCAATACCTGAGTTTCAGTGCTGCAAAAATGCAGTATTGCCAATAAAACTATTTGTTTGTTTGCTATAGTGGGCATTCAGACCCAAAACCTGCATTAAAAACACACAGGGGGCCCACTCAGAAGTATTTGACGTCACCATTTAGAAGAGCTAAGAGACAAAAATACTAAATACTAAATAATACTACAAAACAAAAATACTAAATAATAACTGGCAAGTCTGTTCATTAACAGAATACACATTAAGACATTTTCCAGGCCTTTAAATGTTAAATGTCTAAACACAAACATCCATACAAGACCTGTGTCTGAATAAAATACTGTAAAATAATGATTTAAAATGAGCTATATATATAGAACAATAAGTAAATTAGGTGACAGATCAGACTGCCTGTGCTTTGATACCCAGCCCTTCAAAATAAGTGTCATTTTTGACTTACACTGGTCAGATTCTGGTCGTTAACCCCTCCAACATGGCAGCTCCTTCTAAAAATAAAAACTGACATACAATACATTTTAAATACTATTCTTTTTATAACAATTTAAATATCTTTACAACATAAATTCCTGTATTGGTTTAACATGGAGTGTGGCATTGTGAAAATGTCTTAGGCACATCAAGGCACATATCATACATTCATACAGTGCATTGCCTTCCTGAAAAATCACACAAAAGCTGCAGATAAAACATGCTGAAATGTCCATAATGGGTTTAAAAACATCTTATTTTCTCACATATAAACAGTGAAGCTGGGAGCGTGCAGGATTATATAATATCAGAAGGACTGGATGTGCGTTCATACAGCATTTTAGATTTCTCTCTGCTCTCCACCACAAGCACGGAAGTAAATAGAATGAACTCCACGTCAAACACGTTGTAAAAATAAAGATTTTGCATTACATTATTTAGAGAATAGTTAACACGTAGCATGCGATCCACCTAATAAAATCACTCAAACATATAATAAGTCCCTTTAAAATCCTGCTTTTAAATCTATAATCTCTGTAAGTGTATTTCTGTCTGTAAACGGCTGCAGTGCATGAGACAAAAGGAATACATGATTTAAAAATAAATAAGGAAAGAACAGCAGCAGTGATAAAAAGCATCTTCATCAGTAACGCTAAAGCTGGAACCCTGGTCGTGTAAACCTCAGTATCAGTATTAGTTTGCTAGTAGTGCAATAGATGGAAAACACACAAAGATCAGAAACATGACGTAGAAATACTCGGTGAGGCTTCATTTTAGGGGACCATCATTTCTTTAAATTTCATAGAAGGTTTCCTGGAAAGAATTTGCTAATTTGTTACTAACTAAATATAAAGTAAATACTCATTTTTGGACTGCTATAATCCCAGTGATGACTTTTACACTTTACTGTTTCTTTCTTTCTTTCTCGTCTTTTCATTAATCCTTTAAAAATCGTCACTGCTTCAGTCAAACCAAAGTATACTGAGCTTCCTTTATATTAAGTATAAATACTAAATACTAACTATAAATCTTTTTTTTTACGCAATTATCTTTTTTATACATAAAGACGTTCTCCTCAGAGCCACAAACAGCTGACATCAAGAAGCTCTCACTCGCCTTTAACTCTTAAGTAAAAGTGTAGGAGCGTTGGTAGAAAAGGATCTAAAGACTCTAGGTTATGTGAACTCTCTCTCTATTTGTATCATTCCTTCCAGGAAACTTGAAGGTAAGTATGAGGAAATGATGGAGCTGTGAAATAAAGCCTAACCGAATCTGAAAAAGCTGCATCGCATTGAGGACAGTGTTTCCCCAACAATCAGTGTCGATTATGTTCACTACAAAGACAATGATTAAAAAGACAGTATAAAACAGATACATTGTGCGCTGTGTAAAATCAGAGGCACCTGATGTTGAGAGGACAGACAGACAGACAGGATCGACTCTCTGACTTCATGAAAAACAAACCTCAATCATTAGATACTATTTCACCCAAAACACTCAGGAGTGATGCAGGTCTGCACTTGATTTGGCCAAATTCATCCGGCTGCTTGCGCTTGATTGCATTATTGTCATTCAAATAGCTCCATTTGCATGAGCCCATTTTGTTATTTTTTGTCACCACCACATTGAAAAAGGAGCAGAAGGTTCTCTTGGCATCCTTGAAACCCCCCCCCCCTCATCTCAGGGGCTCAGACGCCGCCCCCGCTCCGGTCCACCGTCACCGGCCCTCGCTTATCCAGAGTTTCCTCCGCCGATTTCATCAGAATGGCTAGACGGCTGTCAGACACTTGTCCCTTCTTCACGGCGCTCATCAGCTACACAGGAAACGGCAGAGAACACAGTCTACAATGTGTGCGATAACAGCAGGAAAAGGTTACCTTGTCAAACCAAGCCGAGGTTGAAATAATTATATGTACCACGACGGAAATACCCACAGTGAAAGGCTCTGGAGCCGTCCGATCCCCCTTCACATGCCGGACGTTAAGAGGTAGAAAATGAAACACACATTCTGTATGTGTTAAAGCTGAATTAGGTGTTTTTTTTATATAGAAATTGAGCCATTTTATGAGCCAGTGCTCTTTATATTCAATATACCTGATTCAACAAAAGTAGCAGAAAGAGACTGAAGCTCTCTTCAACTTGGTGTGTTTCATTTGCTGCAGAGCATCTAAAAACATCACATTTAAGAATTTATGCATATTTATTTAGAGGTTTTTACAGGATAAGGAAAGTATTCTTCTATATTTTCCTTATTGTCAACAAATCCCAAAAACAATGTGTTAGTGTTTGTACATATCTATATATACAGTGTGTATATGTATATATAGATATCTATTTATAGGTGTGTTTGTATGTTTATTGACCTTTTGTGCTATATTGCACTCTTTGCGGTTACACAATGCTTAAGGTTTAATCAATTCATTAAATTATTTTCTCTTTTAGTTGGGTTGCTGTTGTTTTCAGCTGGTTCATGTGTGAAGAATAAAAATGAAACACTGTGTTAGTGTGTAATCATTTCGCATTCATTCTAGATCGCTATATTATTAAAAGTAGTCAAGTGTTATAATTCGTAATATTTTCTTTTCTGATTGCTACAATTTTAAATAATTAGAATTATAGTTTTACACAGGTTTTAATCTGTTTGCCTTTGTTTGTTGTCATGGTGAATATGTAGAAAAATGTGTTATGTTTAGGTTCTTTCAAGTCTTAATAGATATCAGATATAAGTTATATCAGACAGTACTTGTTAGTAGGATCAATTCATTGTTTGTTTTAGGCTTCCATGGGATTTCTTGACAATAAGAAAACCATAAAATATCACCACACTCGTCCTTTCAGTCACCAGTGTATGGAGTTTCCTAGTGCAGCTTTAACACTTCTTGGCTGCTGGGAGGCTTTTTAGTGTGTTTCTCCCTCCAGCCATGGTCGTCTTTGTTCACAGGAGGACTTAATAAAGTTTTGTGTTAAGACTTTTTTGTTAATGTGAGAGGAAACCCCTTTCCAAGTTTTCCTCGTAGAGCTCGAGAGTATCGGTTTCCCCTCGGTGCTGCGCGTGTACACTACCTGTTTGTCGTCCCTAAGTCATCCACGTGCGGGTCGGGCAAATATACACAAGCAGAAACAGACATTCAACATGATGATATACATGACAAACGTGATAGAAATGTAGAGATATAATCATCCAGCCATCAGTTTGTTTCCTTCGCAGTTCAGCGGAGGAGCCGGCACAATGAAGACTAAATCATCGACTGTCATCAAGCTGTAATGACTCTTTTCTGGACTCGAGAAAGTAATTTAGCAGTGGATGGACGGAGGAGCCCCAGACGCACTTTGGGCCTCATTACACGAGTCGCTGACAGAGACTCTCCTCTCTAATTAGCTCCATGTAGTCGAGTTCACACCTTCTGTTTGCAGGAACGGATGTTCTCACATCTCAGGTGGACAATGGTCCTTTTTTAACGATGAGGTAATTTGTGTTGCAGCTTTAGTGACCGCTATAGCATGTATGTATGAGGGGGAATATGTTGTATTAATACTGAAAACGACACATTATATATAAAAACAGGTTCTGATTAAAATATGAATACAAAATTCTAATTTCTTGACAATTTCTGATGCATGACAAGGCAGGAGATTGAAAACAGATTAAAAATAGAAATATGGCCGCACACAAAAAGATTCTGAGGGGGAAAAAAACTAGAAATAAAAAAAAAAAGTGGCAAAAAAAATGTGTGTAATGGATTGTGTTCCCCTGAGCTTCTATTATCCAGCCTTCATGTCCTCAGTCCTGTTTGTTCTGCAGACCCTGACAGAGGTGTTAGGCATTAATGGTTCCTCTCATCAGTCTCACCAGTCTCACCAGTCTCTCACACACACACACA